GAGTGCTGTACCTCAGGATAACCCACCGCCCCTCTCTCCACATGCTCCCCAGGTATAAGACAGGAACCTCTCCAGGTCATCCCAGCTTTGTCCCAGCAGCTGGACCTTCCTTCTGCATTGTTTACATTGCATCCTGGACGGGGCTGTAATATGCAACGTGCTGCTCTCAGGAGGAAGAGGGAATGGCATGAACTGGACAGACTGTGAACTTGCCAACAGATGCAGTACCCTTCCACGCCTTTGGGTGTCTGTCTGGCATCAGATTGGCAGCCCTGCCAGCCAGGGGAACAGAGGACAGGAGCGATGCCACTTGGACCTGCCCTGTCGACAGTGGCCCTCGGAGGACTCCTCTGGGGCCCTGGCTTGTGCTCCACAGGGAGTGGCGGCGGCCCTGTGGGGTCTGGAGCTGCGGTGGCCTCCACTGGCATCTGTGTTTCCAAAAGTGCCTTTGACCCAGGCTCCATGGTGATAGCTGGGTCCAAATCAGAGAGGAGAGAAGAGGCCAGTAAGGGGCAGGACCATCTGTGAGCCAGGAAGCCACTGGGTGAGGCTCTTGTCAGGAGTTGCCCTGCAAGTGAGGTGAGCGCCCGAAAGGGGAGGAGCACTTTCTGCCCCGTGCCTCCAACTGCTGCATGTGGGCCTTGCTCATACCACCCCAGCCTCTCGCTGGCCAGGCCCTCTGGGCCAAAGTGTTGGTAAGCCTTCCCTGGCTTTCACAGCCTCTGGCTTTGGGTGCCTCTGGGCTCCTGGGAGCAGACAGGATGAGGGCCTGCCCCTTCTGCCAGTGAGGGGCACCAGGCCTAAGTCTGGAGCTCAGGGCAGTTCTGTTGGAAATTCCACTGAGGGAGAAACTGGGTGCTGTCACCACCAAGGCCTTTTCCTCCCTCAAACCCATTCCTACAGCCTCAAGCCTGGGCTCTGCCCATGCCCACTACTGCCCCAGACCACCTTTGAAGCCGATCTTCAGAAATCAATAATATGAGTTTTTATTTTGTTTGTTTTTTGTAGTTTATTTTGGAGTCTAGTATTTCAATAATTTAAGAATCAGAAGCACTGACCTTTCTACATTTTATAACATTATTTTGTATATAATGTGTATTTATAATATGGAACAGATGTGTACAGGAGTTTACTACTTCTTGGGTCCTGTCTTTGTGATGGCAAAGTGGGAATCTTCACCCCGTCCTCTCGAACTCCCCTTCACATACTGCTGCCAGAACCCCCAGGACCTGTACGCTCACTTGGGTTTGGCCTGCTGTGTGCTAGGCCTTTGTCCCCACGGTCCCTGGCAAGGTCCACCCCGCCCATCTAGTCCCCAGCCCTCGTCTTTCCTGCCTGATGGCTCCCCTTCCCTACTTATGCCCCCACCATTCTTTGGAGGGGATATGCCCCCGAACCCATTTTCCTTTTCTTTCCTCAAGCCTGAAAACAGCTTATGAAACTCCCTAGTCATCTTGGAATACAGGAATCTGGGGGGTGAGTCTGCCGGTTTTCCACTCATTCCTTAGGATTCTCTTGGAGAAGGGGATCTCTGAACCCTGGAAACAAATGGCTCCTTCCTCCTGCCATTGCAGGATTTAGATGGACCGGCACCTGCTCTTCTCTCAGGCCCTGCAAGGCACGGGTCTCAGGGGGCAAAGAGGGTCAGACTTTGCCTTGGATCCATCCTCCTTGCAGCTGGGCAAGAGAGTTCAGGTTCAGGGCTTGGACTGCCTAGAGCTGCTGGAGTTTAGTGGAGACGAGGGGCTAAGGGAGGGGTAGCGGGGAGGGACACGGTGACATTCCCTGGGTCCGGTTTTCTCTGAGACACTAATTTGAGTTTCGTCACTACTTCATGTCTGGCTTCCTCTAAGGTGCAGAATGGCCCCTGGGTGCCGTGCTCCTCTCCATAGCCACAGACAGTCCCTACGGAGAGCACATGATAAAAAAACGAGCCCCTGACAAAGAGCTGAGCAGACGCTCCCAGCTCTCAGCCTGTCCACAAAATCACAAAATAGACCCACCAGATGCCTTGCTCCCGATGGAGTCCAAGTATGAGCAATGCTACTTGCCCCCCCTTTTCCTCTGTGTCCCTGACACACACAAGGCATGCCCGCCCTGACCGGGGTGCTCGTGCCGGCGACAAGGAAGCAAGAGACCAGGCTCATCCACACTCCCCCGCACGCACACGCTCCACGCCTTGCTCATGGCTCCCTGTTCCCCTTGCTGCACACACAGGGTATCAAACAGGAAAGCATTCAGGGAACCGTTCCCACAGCCTGAGCCGGCAGCAGGGGGAAGAACAACACGACCTCACTCTTCCTGCCCAAAATGAAACAGGAAAGCAGCTCCAGGGCCCTGGGGGGGCGGGGGAAACTGGGCTGGGACACGGAGGCGAGATGACGAGGCTCCCATGTGGGGGACAGGTAGGACACTCGCGGGCCTGCACGTCCACACCACCAGGCTGTGCTGGATAGCACGGGCTGCCAACTCCACACAGAAGAGCCCTGGAGGGGAGCTGGCTGGCTAACCTACTCACTGGCTCTGCTTCCCTAGATGGGGAGCTGGGTGAGCCCACCACGCCAACTTTCTGGGGAAAGAGAATTCACGCATGGACTTGATCTGGGCAGCTCCAACCTGAAGTCTGTGCCAGGCTCCACCTCTAGTGACATGGCAGAAACGGAGCCAGGCACCTGGAGTGTGAGCAGGCCACAGGACTTCCAGGTCACTCCCTGAGGGTCCAGCCCATTCTCATAGGTACAGTCCCCAAAACTTTCCTCCCAGAGCACCCAGGTGTACAAGAGATGTCCCAGGTGTGCAAACCCAGGTGTACAAGAGATGTCCCAGAGCTGGCAGAAACCAGGCCAGATGATAACTCTGGACTCACTGTGAAGGGCTTTCCAAGGTTTAGCAAAAGTCCTAATCAATCCGCGTGGATATTTCACAAGAGACTAAGGGTTGAGTAGTTCCTGAACAGCCTGGAGCCCGCGCCCTACCCAAAGGATAAGTCTGACCCCATGATGGCCTCTGGCTGAGGACAATGGCTTTTCTAGGGTCTTCTGGCTGGTGACCATCTGGAGATGGCTGTGGGGGCTTGAGTTAGGGAGAGAGAGGTTTTGGAAGAGGTTTTTTGTTTTTTGTTTTTTTAATTGTGCATAAACTCAGGGTCTCCTCTCGTGTCTCAGAAAGACAGAAAAACGACCTTGGCTCTGAAGCCCTCCTCCGCCCCCCACCCCCAGCAGATAAGGCCATTAGATTAGCCAGGATAGCACGGCCACCCCATCTTTCCGGGGGACCCGCAGAGCTGGCTCTCCCCTGCAGCTTCCCTGCGCGTCCGCGGGCTCGGCGGCCCCGGCCCCCCGCCCCCCGCGGCCGGTGCGTTCCGGGAAGGGGATGTCAGTGATTCACCCAGGGAACTGTGACTGTCCCTTCCCGGGGCGAGGATGCGCCCGGGAGGCCCCAGCGGCCTTCCCCGGGTGGCCGCGTCTCCCTCGCGCCCAGGGGGCACCTGGCCTCGGAGCCCCAGCGGGCGGCGGCGCCCCCCCCGCCCTCCCGCGGAAGCGGCAGGTGCGGCGCGCGGGCCGGGGTCTGCCCTCCACCTGCCGCCGCGGGGCGCCCCAGGGCCCGGCCCCCGCCCCCCGCGCTCTTTGTTACAGCCCGACTTCCTGTTTGCGGCCTCCCGACCCCGGTTACTTCCCGGGGAAGCCGCCGAAGGCCGCGGGTTTCTCGGAGACACCCCCACCCGCTGGGCTCCGCCTCCCGCGTCCCCGGAGCCCGCCCTGGGCGCCCGAGCCCGCGCGGGGCCGCGGTCGCGGGGAGCCCGGGGCGCCGGCGGGCCAGCGGGCGGGACCTCCCGGGCCCGGCTGCCCGGCACCAGGGGGCGCTGCGCCCCCAGCGGGGCTCGGGGTGCTGCCCTGCTCCGTCCTGGGGGCACGGGATGGGGAGGGGGCGGTCGGGCGCGCATTTTCTTGGTTGCCGCGCAGAGAAAAGCGCAGCGCGATGCCGCCGCCCCGCGCCGGAGCCCGCGGGTGGCCGGAGACGCAGGCCCCGCTCCGCGGACTCTGAGCGCCCCCGGGCGCAGCCCCCCGGGCGCGTTCTCTGCTCTTCTCTCAGGCCCTGCAAGGCACGGGTGCCCTGGCCCTCGGAGGACTCCCCTGGGGCCCTGGCTTGTGCTCCACTGGGAGTGGCGGCGGCCCTGTGGGGTCTGGAGCTGCGGTGGCCTCCACTGGCATCTGTGTTTCCAAAAGTGCCTTTGACCCAGGCTCTCCCCCCCCCCCCCGCGCCCAGAGGCTGCCGCGGGCACCCCGAAACGCAGCGAATTGGGGTGGGTTGGAAGAGGCAGCGTTTGCGTTCCAAGGCTGAGTCTGCCTTCCAGCAGCAGCTCTCCTGGCCGCGGGGCCTGGGGCGAGGGCATCCCTTTCTTTATTCCTTCCCGGGCATTGAGCACCTGTTCTATACCAGGTGTTACCGATAAAACTTGGTCTCTGCTCAGAGAAGCGAACCATCTAGTTAATTATCTTTAGCCTCTCTGCAGATAATACCCCTCCTGCGTATGATTATGAGATCGAAATAAGTTAATGTGTGAAAATATTTGTGAGCCTCCAGTTCCCCTACCGGCTGGTTAACCCCTTCCAAGCACACGCTAGCGAACCGTCTAGTGGAGCTTCCACTCGCTCAGCCGGGGTGCCTGGAGCTGGGCATCTGACCGCATGGATCCCGCATTAACCCCAGGACTAAAGAGGCTCTGAGATCCCAGGTTCCCTCTACCATGGCGTCTCTCTGTGCCCCTGTGTTGAGGGGCATTGCTAGTTTAAGTCACCTCCTCTAACGTGGGCAGCGCTGGGAGAGAGGCCCTGGCTGCAGGCCTGGACGTCCCCCATGAGTCACCTTCCCTTTGGAGAGCAGCCACAAGTGACTTTTTGCCTTCTTTTTTTCTGGCCTCTGGGGTTCTGTAACCTTTAACACTCTGGCCGAGAGTGTGCTCAGCCCGTTCCCATTATCCCCAAAGACCCTCTGAGACCATGATGCCAGGATCCAAAGAGCCGGATGATGCTACCCCTGGGTGAGGCTACCTTGTGCCAGATCCAAGGTCACTGGCATCTCAGGAATCTAGATTTAGCAACAGGTTGGCTCTGGACCCAGCCTGCCCAGTGGCATGGCACCCCCTGCAGGGCAGAGCCAAAGCACTGCCAGGCATGGCTAGCCTGTCTGGCTTCAGTCACCCCTCGTCCTGGCTTAGGTTGGAGGCAGAGCAAGACCTGGGATTTACAGACTGTCCTGTGCTGCTTGAGGAGTGCTGTCCCTTCCCCACAGGCGCAGAGGTCTGGGCCAGGCCCACCCTCCTCACCTGGTCTGTTCAGTTTCTCCTCTATCATGCCCCCCCTTTACTTAGTGCTTCTTCCCTTTGGGATCTTCTCCTCCCCTGTATCAGTAGACTCCTGGGCACTAGAGTCCCAGCAGCTCTCACTGAAGGGGCTTCACTTCCTTGGTTCTCTGTGGGCCTGAGCTGGCCCACAGAGTCAGGCCCCTTTTGAGCAATAACAATTCTCCACATGGGCTGTTTTCTTCCACACCTCAGCATTTCCGTGGGTTACGATGTTTGACTCTGACCCCATGGGTCTCCTCTCTATGAAGCCCTTTCGCCCCCCTGAAGTGCTCCCCATTCAGCTTCTCCTTGGCCCTGTAGCCAGCTGCTTCCTGCCCCCACTAACCACACATTCATCTCTCCTAGGAATTAGGAAAGGTCCCATCATCCCAACCCCTCCTCTTCCAGGTGGACTAGGTGGGAGGTCTGAATAACTGAAACTCAGGCCACCCCAGTGGTGCCTATCAGCCTTGCCTTTTCTCCATCCCTCCCTGAAATTTAGAAAATGGGTAGGGAGCCAATTTCCCCATCATCCCCGCACCCTTCTGCCACCCTTCTGGATAAATCTTTCATAGTCCCTGCTTTTGTGGACAGTGGACCAAGTGTTTTGCAGCCATCCCCGGCCAGGTAGGTTCACTGTCAATTCTTGCAGATGAAAAGATAATTTTGGAGACTTCAGTAGATTTTCACGGGCTTTTAATACTGACTCAGGGGACAGATGCTTTCCCTCTCAGCATTTCTCTGGCTGTCTCCTCCCTCAGGCGCAGAGTGATGCTGCCCTTATATCTCCTTGCCTCTCAGCACAGGTGTCACAATTTACATATGCGCATGCCCCGTGCTCTCTGAGCCCAGGTGTCCATAATGACTGGGTGCGTGCAGGACCACAGGTGCTGGTCATAGAGGCTAGTGGCGGAAGGGTGGAAAAAGCCTGATTTTTTTTTTTATTTATTTGTTTGTTTATACATGCACTGGGTACAGTCAGAAGCGCGGGAGGGTGAGAGAATTCACCAGAGCCAGAGCAGGGAGCAGAGCAGGCAGAAGGACCAAAGTACACTGCTGAGGGGAGCAGCGGGCGGCAGGAGAGGTCTGCGCGCCATGTGGGACCCTCCTCCGGTGGCCGGGGAGCAGCCGGGGATCGAACCGGCGCCGCAGAGGCCGCGGGCAGCTTCGCAACCCAGCGCTCAACCGCTGGGCCACCGGGGAGGCCCTTGAAAAAGCCTGATTTTTAAATTCATTTACTGTACAAAGTGGCTTCCGGATTCAGCTGCCACCCCCAGCACAGCAGCTGTCTTCTCTTCCTTGTCAGAGGTGGGCTGTATTGAGACTCAGCGACCTCCCTCTTCCCATCTTTTTGTGAAAATGTTGGTGGGCCTATGTCCTTCATGTACAGAAACCTAGGATCATATAACTGCCTTTATGGGAGGCATATCCCCTCATAATTAATTGTAATCATCTTCCCCCCATCCCTTCATACTTAGAAAATCTCTCTTGGCTCAGAAGTGTGTGTGGTACAGACACTTTTATCTATTCTGCATTTAAAAAAAAAAAACCACACTCCTGGGCCTCCCTAGTGCTCAAGGGGTTAAGCACCACACTGTGAAGCTATCCGCAGCCTCTGCAGCACAATTGGATCCCCAGCTGGCCAGGGAGCAACCCACCTGGTGCAGCAGACCTCTCATGTGTCGCCTACTGTTCTCCTCAGCAGTGTATTTCACTCAATCTGCCTGTTCTGTTCCCCATTGTCTCTGGTGAATCCTCTCACCCCCCCCCCGCATATCTGACCTGTACCCCAGTATAGGGTAAGTAACAATATCAGGCTTTTCTGCCCTCCCGCCATCAGGATAGATGAGGGAGACCTGTGATTCTGAATGCATGCCTGATGGCGGGCACCTGAAGTGGGTACACCTGCGCTAAGACTATGCTTTTAAGGGCGGCGTCACAGGGACGCCAGAAGCCAAGAAAGCAGCAGTAGAAGCCAAAGCCGAAAGAGAAGCCGAGAAGCAGCAGAATGAACTCCAGAGAGCTCAGATAGAGTGAAGACTTGCTGGGGGCTGGGAGGCCTGCCAGCCTCCCAGCCCCCCAGCCAGCACCCCTGCCTGCCATATGCCTGATGAACACCAATAAAAGACCTGCAAAAAGCCACTGAGGACTCTGACTCCTCCTTTACCCGGTCTGCATGGGATCAGAAAACCTGCACCGCGTCCAGTCCTGCCCCTTTACACCCAGCTCTTGTATGCATAAATAAATAAATTTTGTATGCATAAATAAATAAATCTTTTTTTTAAGATTTATTTATTTATGCATACAAGAGCTGGGGTGTAGGCCAGAGATGCGGGGAGTGAGAGGATTCACCAGAGACAGAGTGGGGAGCAGAACAGGAAGACTGTCCAAAATACACTGCTGAGGGGCGCAGTGGGCAAGATAGGAGAGGTCTGCTGCGCCATGTGGGTCACCGACCTGCCAGGGAATTGAACTCCTGCTGCAGTGGCTGCTGACAGCTGCATAGTGCTGCGACTTAACCCCTTGTGCAACCAGGGAAGCCCCAAACACACTCCTTTAGCACCCCATTTGCTGGAACAATCTGTGAATTGTATGGCAAAAATGGAGGATGAGGTAGCTGGAAGTTTCCTCCAGTGAGGTGAATTGAAAATACTTCCCCTTATGTTTCTGACCCACTCAATTCTTCAGAGATGTGTCAGACTGAGAGGCATGGTAAGGAAAACACTCTTCCTGTCCCTCTTATCTACTGTCAACAGTACACCACTTCTCACATACAGTCAACGTATGTTCAGAGCTCCAGGGTGCCAGGTATTGGTTGAGGTGTTAGTTCTTTCAAACCTCACCAGAATCTGTAAGGCAGGTGCTATTATTCCCCATTTCACAGTTGAGAAGACAGAGGACCAGAGACAGTGTGCTTAGGGTCTCTCAGATGGCAAATGTGAGGGAAGCTCCATCGGGAAAGCTGAGCTTGTGAAGGGTTTCCATTCCTCTGGAGTCAGCTGCTTTACAAAGCAGCTCTATCATTTAGCATAATAAATGAGCACAATTCTCTAACTCCTAAAACACACGCCCACCCTTGTTTCGGATAATTGTCCCACCGAAGAGGAGTTGTTTGGATGACTGAGGGGATCATAAGGAAATGAGAAGTGATCACCTGAAGGGGAACAATAAGGAAGATTAATTTGGGAAAGGTACAGAAAGGCATCATGTGCAGGTCACGTGCGACTCTGCAAGGCTCAGCCGATGCCATTATCACCTCGTGGCCTGGCGCCTTCTTGAGGGGATTGGAGAAGGAAAGATGGCGTGATTGCTGCAGATGTTAGCGAGGAGCCAGTGGAGTGGGGTTTGCTGCCCAAGAGTGTCCCGCTGGGACAGGAGGCAGATGTTGGTGAGGACAAGCAAGGATTGGGAATTGGCAAAACGTGTTCCCAGAAAGATGGCCAAGACCCTTGGGCAAACTTTCTGAGGAGGTTTCTATTTTGAGAGGGTCAAGGTTAAACCTGTCTGCAAGATTCCTTCTTCTCTGAACTCCAGGGTAACTGACCTTTTCCAAGTAAGAGCATCACTTCTACCTCCTTTTGTGGAAACCCTTCCATGTGCTGGCCTTCAAAGATGAACCTTGCTCTCGGGGAGTTCCCATGAACCAGTCTGCTCATCTGTGAAGTATTTACCTCACAAAGTGGTAAAGATTCTAATTAGAGTGGACATAAAAACATTTAGCAACCTGCCTGCCTTATGCTAAACTCTCGATAAATGATTGTTTCTGTTATAATAATGAGGTAGAGGGAACAGTTCAGAAACAGAAGTAAAGTAAGGGGTAAAGTAAAGTAAAGGGAGCAGAGGAGGAACGCCTAATTGCCCGGAGCAAGAGCAGGTCATCAAAGGAGTTAGTAAAACCTGGGGATTTGGTCTGACTGGGAGGAGATATGAAAAGGGCATCTTGAAAATGTTCCCCAGGTTGACATGCCAGCTACGAGAAAACCACTAACTACTCTTTCAAAGTCACTTTTTATTATTAAAAGTTATATTTCAACAGCTCGGGACAATAGAGAAAAGATTCACCCGTAATTCCAGAATGCCAATGCATTCACCATTTGTAAATGGTGCCCCGCATCTTTTTCCTCATGCATCTGTTGCTTTAATTGTTTTAATCATAGTGCATGTGATAGCTCATATTTTGCATTTTTGCCTTACTATGCCATTCCAGGCATTTTTTACTACATTGTTTTTCTAATGTTTTATTTTATGTTGATCTTTAACTTTTTAAAAAAGGTTTATTTATTTATGCATACAAGCCAGATGTGCAGAGGGTGAGAGGATTCACCAGAGACAGAGTGGGGAACAGAACAGGCAGACTGACTGAAATACACTGCTGAGGGGAGCAGTGGGGTGAGACAGAAAAGGTCTGCTGCACCATGTGGGTTGCTCCCTGGAGGGCTGGGCGAGAGGCTGCAGAGGCTGTGGATTGCTTCCTAGTGTGGTGCTTAACCCCTTGCGCCACCAGGGAGACCCTGATCCTTAACTTTTTTTTTCTAAGTAGAAGTGGTTTATGTTCTTTTTCTAAAAATCTAATACCTGTCTAAGTTGGTATTAAAAATATTACAAATCTCATGTGATCCTGTACTCACAAGTAATCACAGGATTTTTATGTGTGCTTTCAGGTTTTTTTCTTTCCTATGCATATAGCACATACAAAGTTTTTATGTTTAAAAAGGTATATTGGGTGGACAATAGATTACGGTGGAAAAAAGTTACATTAATTTATTTCATAACCTGCTTTTTCACTCAATTATACTTCATAGATAGGTTTCCATGTCAATAAATATAGGCATACCAAACTTTTTCTAATGACTGCACAGATTCGATTTTATATGTATGTCAAATTTATGTAGCCAGTCATCTATTGCTGCATATTTAAGTTATTTTCTTTGCATGTATGTGTGTGTGTGTCTGTGTGTCTATCTACCATGTGGATGAACCATAATTTACTTAAACATTTGGCTATTTTGGGATATTTAGGTAGTTTTCTTTTGTTTTTGCTATAATAAATAACAATGTATTGAAAAATCTTCAGGCATATGGCTTTCCCCATATTTTGAATAATTTCCTGGAGTAGAAGTATTGGGGTGGGAATAATTTATGATTCTTGATTTGCATCACCAAGTTAATTTCTCAAAGGGTTATTTGTGCCAATTCAGACATTTCCAGCAATGTGTTGGTACCAGTTTCCTGCCTTCCAACTCACTCCCCAAAGGCTGGTAAGTGGAGGCAATCTTTTCCCTAAGAAGCTACCAGCCAAGGAGGGTCACATAGGGACTATAGAAGGTAGGACTGAGAGCAGAGGGAAAGGGAGCATGAACTTGGGGATGAGGGAAAGAGAAAGGAATGACCCCAACAACCATTTTGCACGTAATCCGCCCCCCACTGAAAAGCAATGTATACTCCTTGTGAAAAACCTAAACTTTCCTATCAATGTTCAAATTTATAATATTGAAATTCCTCTTCCGCTGGCAGTCCTTTTACTATAAAACTTGTTTGTTCGTTTTTTAAGAACTGGTTTCATACTATACACACCATAGTGCAATATTTCTCCTGGAGGATGTATCTTAGACCCCTTTGAAACGACTACTGGATGTGTGCAGATAATTTGTGGCTTAAGTATCTACTTAGAATAGAGAGAGAAGCAGTGCTCTCCCGGCCACTAGGCAGAGGCCACTACCCTGGGGCCAGTGCCACTAGCAGGCCCTACCTGCCTGTTTCCTTCCATTTTCCATCTAGACCTCTGCAGGCAGCAGCCCCCAGCACCTGCTTGCGCGGCAACCCGACGCGGACCCTCCCCGGCCAGGAGGTCAGCGGCTGGGGGAGAAAGCCCGCAGCTACCTGTTGCTCTCTGGGCGCCTCAATTCACCCCTCCTTGCCCGGCGCTCCCGGACACCCCGTGCCTGAAGGGTTAACAGACACCATTACTGGAAAAGACCCAGGTTCGGCCAGAAACCCATCGCCTTGGGGCAGGACTGGCCTGACTTTCCTTTAACGCTTCATCCAGGTGCAGCCACCACCAAAGGGCACGCGGCGGCCCCAAGCGCTCCGACCCACCTCCGCGAGTAAAAATGGATTCTGCTAGGGGTCGGGGAGGGGGAGAGGGTGTGAGGGTGTGAGGGGGGTCCCACACCTGGCCCGGGGCGTTGCCCTCACGTGAGGCCCGCAAGCTCCAGGCGCCCGATCTGACTCAGTCTTGCAGACTTTGCAGCACCCCGTAGCAGCCCCGTGACTCAGTTTCTCCATTTGCTCACGCGGGCCAAAGACGTGAGGCACCTGTGCGGAATGCGGAGGGTTCTTCCGACTCCCTCAGAGTGCGTGCTCCGAGGCGGAGCCCCTGAGGCCGGCAATTTCGCCGCCAGGAGCGCGCCTTCTGCACGCGCCCAGCACAGGCTCCGCAGTGCCCCGGCAGAGCAGGTGCGCGAGCAGGGTGTGGGGAGACGCTCCCTGCACCGCCCGCCTCGGTCTCTGACAGGGCCCAGGCCACGGACGCGCTGTCGGGAGGACAACCAGCGCCGGTGCCCACCGTCCGGCGCCTGACGCAATCCGAGGAGCCCTTGCTGCATGCGGGCGCTGGGGAAACCTCCCCCGCCATTGCATCACTCCTGCCAGGTTTGCTACAGAGGTAGAGCCGAACCAATCAGCCGGCGCGCTGGGCGGGGCCAGGCCGCTCAGTTACCCAATCAGAGCGCGGCTCGATGAACCAGGCAGGAAAGACCCAAGTTGATTGGCCAAAAAGGGCTTCGCCCCGCCTCCAGCACCGCGGCAGCTGGCTCCGGGGGGCGGGGCCTCCCGGCCGGAGGGTTTAAAGGGCGCCTAGGCGGGGGCCGCTCAGCTGGAGCGACCGAGGGTGCCAGGCCAGGTGTGCGCGTCCGCCGGCCCTTCCGCGCCCGCGCCGGAGACCAGCCCCGGAGGCCGCCCGGGCCCGTCCCTGTGCCCGGCACCATGAAGCAGGAGCCTCGGAACACGCCACCCGCCTCCCCGGCCGCCTCGCCCCCTGCATCGCAGACCTCAGCGGACACCGCGCCGCGCCCCCAGGACCGCGGCGACCCCCAAGCGCTGTGGATCTTCGGGTATGGCTCCCTGGTGTGGAGGCCCGACTTCAGCTACAGTGACAGCCGCGTGGGCTTCGTGCGCGGCTACAGCCGCCGCTTCTGGCAGGGAGACACCTTCCACCGGGGCAGCGACAAGATGGTGAGCACCAGCCCGTGCCCGGAGAGGGGCGCCGGGGGTGGGAGGGGGCGCAGGGGGTGGAGGGGGCCCCGGGGGTGGGAGGGGGCGCCGGGGGTGGGAGGGGCGCCGGGGGTGGGGTGCTGCCGCCTCTCAGGGCCCGTGGGCGCCCTGCTGGTGGGGGAAATGTGTAAACCTGTGCCAGGGACGTCTGACCTGTGTCTGTGCCCGGTGGATGGCCGTGTGATGTGGAGGCCGAGCTAGTGGATGGCTGTGCTGATTGATGACGGTCTCTGCCAGTCTGAGCCGCTGGCATGTGTGTTTCTGCGGCGTGGGCACATCCCTGTCGCGCCTTGCTCCTCTGGCCTGCAGGCTTGATGAGGGTTTCGGCCGGCACTGACGGCAGAGCTGGTTTCTAACTTGTCTCTTTCGAAATCTTTCTTCCCCTTCTCTAGCCTGGCCGTGTGGTGACTCTTCTTGAAGATCATGAGGTAAGTGTCAAGAGAGGTCTGGGGCCCAATAATGGAGGGGAATAGAGAGACTGAACTTGTGGGCCCAAGAATCATATGAGGAATCTTGTGAAAATCCCAATTTTGATATAATAGGATGAGACTGGCATCCGAAACTCATTTGTAACATGCTTACAGATAAGCCCATTGAGTCTCAGGCTACGCTTTTGAGTTTGAATCCTCTTCTCCCCCAGGCTAGACCACCTGTTTACTGTAATTAAAAAGGAGATGAATGATTTAGTGTATTGTTCCTAGATTGGCTCAGTAGTTCTCCACCCACCTCCCCTATCAGAACAGCCCTAGGGAGGGACCCACAAGGAACTGTTTTGACTGACCCTAACCCATGTTTGCTCCTAGGGCTGCACTTGGGGTGTGGCTTACCAGGTGCGAGGTGAACAGGTGAGCGAGGCCCTGAAGTACCTGAATGTGCGGGAGGCAGTGCTCGGCGGCTATGACACCAAGGAGGTGACTTTCTACCCTCAAGATACCCCTGATCAACCACTGAAGGCATTGGCCTACGTGGCCACGCCACAGAACCCTGGCTACCTGGGCCCTGCCCCCGAGGAGGCCATTGCTACACAGATCCTGGCCTGCCGAGGCTTCGCAGGCCACAACCTTGAGTACTTGCTGCGCCTGGCAGACTTCATGCAGCTCTGTGGGCCCCAGGCCCAGGACGAGCACCTGGCAGCCATCGTGGATGCTGTGGGCACCATGTTGCCCTGCTTTTGCCCCACCGAGCAGGCTCTGGCACTTGTCTGAGGGTCTGAGCCCCTGCCGGAGTGTCCATGTGGAACATTGGGGCCAGGTTCCCACTCTCGTGCACATAGGCTTAATACGGTTAGAGCCCACGGAGGACACTATGGGTGGCCAGGAGCTTCTCTCCTTTAGCCCCGCCATTCTGCCAGCCTCCAGCTCTTTTGCTGAAACTGACTTACTTACTTGAAACTTTATTTATTGCACCATGTTGGTGTGGTGGGCAGGGTGGGGGGCCTGCCCTGGACGCAGGGGCCTGCTGAGCAGTGCCCCACCCTAGGTGCCTGGTGCTTGACCAGATTCCCCCCTAGTGCTGCTACTAACCCCACACCACCCAGACCTCCACTTTCCCAGGGAACCTCCAAGAACCTTGATTCTCCTGCCCGCCCCCACCCCCCATTCCCTAGCCTCGTGATACCACCTGCCAAAGGTCTCAGCCCATTGGTAAAGGATAGCAGGAGACCCTATAAGAACTGAGGCCCCCACCATCCCTGCTCATGCCTTAGGTCCCTAGGGAAGAACTGGACCTGAAGCCCAGCCTGGGCCTCATACCCATTTGGCTTTGTTTCCCTACTCCTCTGTCTGTCCACTTGTCTGTTTAGGTCATTCCTATATGTTGGTCCATTCCTGGGAAGTTTATCACTGTAGGCGCAGGCTCCTTCCCAGTGTGTCCCGTACCATTATCCATAAATTGATCTTTTCTTATGTGTGCTGTGCTGGAATGTGGTTCTTTCTTCAGATGGGGTTGGGGCGAGTGAGGTGGTGAAGCTGATGAGGCCCTAGAGCCCTCCTTCCTTGGGAAGGGGGCACTAAACAAACAAGACTCACAGGTTCTGCCACCCCATGGGCACCATTCATAGCACATCCAAATAATGCCCAAGTCATGCAGAATTAGCCCCCAGTGGCTCTACCTGGGAAGCTGTCTCCTCTCAGCTGCCCCAAGGAGGCTGGCAGCTTGGAACGTGGACCAGGTCTTCCTCCAGTTGCAGAGCCAGCTGCTGCCTCTTCCCTGATGGCCAGGCTGGACTCTAGGCTTCCTGCTGCAGGAGTATGTGGCCTCGGGTGTGGTAGTGGCTGCACACAACAAACACTTGATGAAGCTCGTGGCCCTTTAACTTCTAAGGTCAAGGTGCTCATGGTTGCCTCCTGAGGCTCCTGTTGGGGTGATGTGGGCTGTGCCTTCTCTGTTACTGACCTGCCAGGACTCCCCCCTGCTAGGATGAGTTGCTGAGGTACCCTCTGGGTGGCTGCTCCTTTTCCCTGGGGCTATCTCTGGTTATGTCTCTGCTCTCTGCCCTGAGACCCTGGCCCCAGGGGCAAATCCTAGCCTCTGGGATCTCAACCTAGTCCTGGGCTCCTCAACTAGGAGTGATACCTCCGTGGGTTCAACCAGTCCCTGAATCTGCCGAATGGGTGCAGGTCCCAGATGACAGGCTTTAGCAGCAGAGTCTGGCTCAAAACCAGCCCCTCCCGTCACTAGCCAAGTGCCTCCTCTGAACATCAGTGGGCTGAGGGGGGACAATACCCAAAGGAAGCTGCTGCATGGTAGATACTGCTGCTGCTCTGTGGCTGATGCCCTGGATTGGTCTGGGTGTCCCCAGCAGGGTCAGCCCCCACCAAGTTGTGCCTGGGGAGAGTGCTCATGGCTAGTGAGTGTGCCCATGCTTTAGGCTCATGTCTTGGCAATTGACAGAGCGTGGTGTTCAGCCAGGTTCTTCTGGGAACTTGGTTAGGGCATCTGCCCTCAACAGGAGGGGCAGTGGGGGGGGTAGGGAGCCCTGGCAGGTAGCTTCATGTACCAGAGCAGGTGGCTCGTCTGGGCGCTTGAGCAGAGCCCTGCTGAATATGGTTGCTGAGCTGGGGTAGGTAGGGCTGTTTGCCAGCTGCACATGGGGTCACACTTCTGTTAGCCATTCACCTTTGTAATAAGCTCCTTACCTGGCAGGCACCATAGTAGGCGCTTGGGATACAGCAGTGAAGAAATCCTTCTCAAGGAATTCGGACCTAGAAACCATGGTGACCGTTTAGCTGGAAATGTGTGCTGAAGGGAGACTGGGGCATTCAGCACACAGGAAGGGCCCTGCCCCACACGGTGGTCAGGGAAGGTTTTCAGTGGGAGGCAAGGACAAGGCTGAGCCCCAGAGGCTGAGACTGACGGGCACAAGAGGCAGGGAGTAGCAGGTACCTGAGGAGGAAGCAAGGTCAGGTCATCTAGCCCAGAGTGACTTGTGGGAGGGGACATGAGGCTGGCCAGGTGACAGGATGGCATCCTGCTGGCAGACTGGGTGAGCTGTGTTGTGCTGAAGAGGTGGCATTCCTCCTAGGTTGGTGCAGGGCTTCCCTTGTATCCCGAGCTTAAAAGGAACACTGGCTGCTGCTGTGTCTGATGGGAAGAGAAAGGCCTCGATGGGCGAGGGCCAGGTGGAGATAACTTGGGCAGAGGTGGGGCAGTGGGACTAGATGGATTGGGAGCAGTTGAGGGGGTGAGGTCAGTGGGGTTTAGTGTGGCTGGTTGAAGAGAGTGAGGGAGAAGACACAGGGCCTGGGCTTCCTGGTTAATTTGGAGTTGGAAAGGGTGAGTGTGGGTATCTGCCCCGTTACTGCGTGAGTTGGTGTCTGGATGTGAGGCTGCAACATCCATGTGGCTGCTCAGGGGGCGTTTGGATGTTTGTTTAGATCTCAGAAGAGCAGCTGGGGCTGGGGTTAGAGATTTGGGGTTCTCACATAAAGGTAGAACTTGAGACCCTGGGAGTGCAGAGTAAAGAGACCAGGACCTCGGCCCAGCCTGAGGTCCCCAGCACGAGTGGTCTGAGTAAAGCAAGAAGAGTCAGGAACAGGCAAGTAGGGGGTAGGAGGGAACCAGCAGACGGGGTGTCCAGACAGCCACGGTCCTGTTGCCAGGATGTCAGGGAAAATGTGGAAGGGGGTGCTGTTGGATGAAATCCGGGGGTCCTCTGTGACCCAGAACAACTTGGAGCGGTGGCAGGAAGCCACAGGACTGGGCTGAGGAGGCGGAGTGAGGGCAATAGACGGATTTCAGGGAGTTTGGCTGCTAAAAAGAGGGACAGAAGCAGATAACTGAGGCTATGGGGGGCGCACCAGGGGCCTCAGGACTCCTTTACAAGTTAAAAATCATTGCAGCCTCTAGGAGCTTTTATTCATGTGAGATAGCTATCGATATATGCCATAAAAAATTAAAATAATAATGGTACTTCATTACAAAATTTTTTTTTAAAGTGGAAAAGTTTTACATATTTATTAAAAATAAGCCCATGACATCCTAATATATTTTGAAAGAAAATGCATTTTCAAAAGCAAACACATTTAGTGAAAAGAGAGGCATTGTTTTATATCCTCACTGTCTGATGGAATGAAAGCAGCTGGATTCCTGTCTGCAAATTCACAACCACGGAGTCTCCGGAAAATTCCTCCTCTGTACACTCATGAGGAAATGGGAGTAAAAGGACAGATAATTTCTTTTTTTTTTTTTGTGGGACCCTCGCTGGCGGCCAGGGATTGAACCAGCGCCGCATAGGCTGTGGGCAGCCTCGCAGCCCAGCGCTCAACCGCTGCGCCACCGGGGAGGCCCGACAAATAATTTCTTAATATTATTATGAAAATAGTTCGGGCATCGCAGACTCCCTGAGAGGGACCCCTGGGCTATTTTTTTTAGGGCTTCTGCTGTAGGAACATCAACATTCTTTTTTTTTTTCCTTGGGAGGGGCTTGAGCAGGGTGGTAGGTGGTTGCTCAACCTTGGGAGGCAGCATGAAGGAATTTCAGAGCTAGCAGGGACTTCAGGAGTCTCTGGTCCTGTCCCTCTCCCGAAGATTTCCCTCTGGAGAGCGGGAGGAGGTAGGAAGGATCAGCCGATTGGCTGACTGTTTATTGAGTCTACAGCAGACTCCAGCTGTGGGACACAGAACCTCCCTCACATCTGGAGTGGGGTAACAGCAACTCCGGGACTAGGGATGGGGCGCAGGTGGTCAGGTCTGTGTGGGCCTTAAAGAAGCTGTAGGTAGCTACCAGGTGGGGGGGCATCAGGAGTTTGGGGATGGTGCCAGCCAAGGAGGGAGGCACACAGACAGCTGGGCAAATGGCTGCGTGGTGGAAGCTCTGGTGTGCTGGGGGCAAGGCTGAAAGCTGCTTTGGTATTGGAGGAAGTGTTGGCCTTTATCTTGGAGGGAAGTTGAATTCTGTGGTGATTTTTTTTGTTTTTCATGTGTTTTTCCTCCCACAAAAGGGTTTTTGTTTGTTTTTGTTCTTTTTGTTTTGTCTTCTTGTCAAGCAGACAAGTCCTGTGTGCAGGCCTGGGTTTGAACAGGCTGGGCCGAGGCTGGGGACGGATGAATGGAAAGCGGGGAGACCTGGTAGGTGCCTGTGGTGACTTTCCAGGGAGTGCTGGGAGCAAGGGCGCTGAGCTGCAGCCAAGAACCAGGATTTTGGGGATGCCTTCTGGCAGCCTGTTGGAAGTGGGGGCGAACAGGAGGGAAGAGCCTGGGCGTACCAGGGTTCTGTCAAGAAAGGGCTTAGACTGTCAAAGAGACATGGGTGAACCCCAATCTGCCCTCCAAACTCACTTTAGGCCTGGCAGGCTCTTATGGGGTTCTCCTGGTCTGGGTTTCAGAAAGGACCACACTCCTCCAGGGGCTGTATTTCCCCTGAAGACTGGCCACCTCAGGGCCAGCGATTAGAGTGGGAGAAGACCCTGTCTTCCAGGCCTGGCTCTGAGGACGGTCCCAGTGCATGAGGATGGGGGCGGCACTTCAGTGTCCCTGGCGGGGTTAGAGGAGGCCGTGGTCCTGGGAGGAGTAGAGTGTCCCTTGAGGGTCAGGACAGCAGCACAAGGGCCAGCCAGCCTCCTTTGACATAACCCAGTATGCCCAGGTCAGGCCTGTTTTACTCTGGGTGTCTTAGAATAATTGTTGTTTTTACTCTCAAAAGCACCGGCTTGGATAGTAAGTGGCATGGGGGTTGTGGAGATGGGAACAGAGTGGCCTGCTTCATCAGGGGGGCTGGAGGCTCTCAGAGGGGTTGACCAGAACCCCCTGATCATGCTGCCCTCCTCTAGAGATCCCTAGACCCTGACTCCCAGCCCAGAGGAGGGAAGACCCTCTCTCGCCCTTTCTGATTACCTGCAGACACCCCACAGGCCTGCCCTTCCTTGGCCAGGCCCGCGCCTACTTAGGGCATTTACTTGGGTTGGAGGGAGAGGCCACACCTGGGAGGCCCAGCTGCTCGGCAGGACACCAACCCTTCCCCTCTAGGTGGGACAGTAACCACCTGTACCCTCTTTTACATGCCAGTCTGGCCTCCTCCCTCACATCTCCACATGTTCTGATGTTGCACTAAGGATTTCCTGTATCTGCTTTCTCTCCCTGATGATTGTCATGCGCTCTTGTCCTCAATTTCGAGCCTTTTCTGTATATCTTCCACAGACCTTAAAAGGCAACTCTGACATGCCCCCCCCTCCCCCACCATTCTTGACAGACTCCAAGGTTGCCTCTTTTGTTTGGTCACTAGTTTTCTTCAGTTGCACTATTTCTTATGGAGGGAATGTTGGTTTACAATATTGTCTATGCTCTAGGGGTCTAGGCTCCCCCAACATTCTTCCTGGCCTTAGAATAAACTTCCCCGTGGGCCTGGACCCTGCTCACCCTTTTACCCTCAGTGCCCCTCAGACGCTGCAGCCTCAACATCCTGGCATCCACGCTGCCTGGGTCTCCCCCCTCCCCAAGCTGTTTCTGGCTATCGAGACTCTGTTTCCCCTGCTTCCCCTACCCGGCAGCTTTGTCCAACCCTCTTCAATCCTTGCGGATTCACCCAGTGTCCTGCTTCCAGAAGTTGCTGGAGACCCTGGCTGGCTGGTGCCCCTGCTGTGCCCCACCCGCCTCCATTTTGTGCCCGGCTCCTTATATTGTGTAATCTGCTTACAGGTCTGTTCCCACTAAACCGAACACCCCTGAGGGCGGGAACTTCATGTACCCCAGCACATAGCCCACATCTGGGCCCCGCAGGAGCTGAGGGGGCCTATGGGGACTGGGATTTAAGGAGACGCCCTTCTGAATACAAAGTCACACGTTCCCTTGGCGGGAAAGACCCTGCAAAAACCTCAGTCATCGCCAAGGGAGGAGGCCAGGCCGTCTCTGGGCTAATATTCAAGCTGAATGTTTATGTGCACAGCCTGGGAATGTGCAACCAGAAGCCGCAGGGGCAAGGGCAGGCCAGGCAGGCAAGGGCAGCCTGCCATGTGCCAACTGGGGCAGCGCTGACCCACGCAACCTGGGCTGGCCTTTCTCGTCTCAACTTGGTCTGTACAAGGCCGAGCCCTAAACACACACCAGGCAGGGCTACCCCCGACAAGGTGTGAGGGGAGGGGGCAGGGGATCCTACTCTTGCTAGTCTTCTCCCTTCCCGGTGCCAAGCTGGGAGACGTGTACCTTCCTCATGGGTAGTGCTCCCACCCTACGGTTTCTCACCCCATCCCCGTAGGAGAGGGAGCTTGGCCTGCCAGACACGACCTGAGAGTGTTGGTGACTGAGGGGGGAAGGGAACAGTAATGACTCCATCTATAGCTTCCTCCTACTGCAGTCAAGGCCTCCAGCCAGGCACAGACCCTCCTGGGCCCAGTCATGCCTGTGCCGCCAGGCCAGGAGGGTGACAGCAGATGGGGAGTGTCAGATGTGCTGGTGGCCTGGTTGGGGGTGATGGTGTATCCAAGGTGGGGGGAACTGACGAGGAGTTGCTCACATGGGGTGTCTGAGTCGTCTCCACAGGAGGAGAGACCCTTACCCATGGGAGTTTCCACTGAAAGGAGATGAAGTTCCCATTCACAAGCCACTCGCAGCCCTGAGGAGTGTGACACTGAGCAGGGGAGCTGCTCTGACAGAACCTGGGTGTCTGGGGCAGGCAGTGAGCCTTCTTAACCCTCCTGCACCCTTGTTTCCTCTCCTGAAAGTCTCTTCCCTGCCAGTTCTGGACTGGTCAACTCATTCCTCAATCTTTAGGCCTCCGTTGGGATGTCACCTTCCTCAGGAAGCCTTCCCTGAACCTGCTATACCCCCATAACCAAAGTCTGACTTTAGGCCTTTACTATAGATCTGACACCTGTTTTTTTCCTTATGCAGCTTTAATAGCACCGTGATCCTAGTCGGCCTCCCAGCAGGCTGCGCCTCCCAGCACCTAGCAGGCGCTCACATCATGATGGTTGAACGGACGCCCAGTCACTCAGCAAGAGGCAGGCGCTGGTGAGAAGACGGGCTCTGGGAAGGGCACTCTGAGCTGTCCCTGCGCAAGAGTTACGTGCAGCAGAGAGAGGTGGGCTTTGCGGGGGTGCAGGGGAGGCGTCAGACCTAGCATGACCACCCCCACCCCATATCTGCCAGGGTCATCTGCTCTGGGCAGGGCATTGAAGTGCCCTTCCGATGCAAAGAAGGAGCGCTGTCTTGGGGTCCGGAGGTTCTGGCCTGTTTTTTTTTTTTTTTTTGTTATTTATTTTTTTAATTGGGGTAACATTGGGATCCCCCCCATTTGGTATCACCATCATAGTGCACCCATCACCAAATCACCCATATTCCTTCCCTTTGTCCTTACCCCTCCTCCACTCCTACCCTCTTTATTTATTTATATATTTATTTATATATTTATTTATATATTTATTTATTTTTTCCTACCCTCTTTATTTTTTAAAATAAAACCTTTTGGGCCTCCCTGGTGGTGCAAGGGGTTACGCACTGCACTATGAAGCAATCTGCAGCCTCTGTAGCACAAGTTCGATCCCCGGCCTTCCAGGGAGCAACCACATGGCGCAGCAGACCTCTCCCGCCTCGCCCGCTGCTCCCCTCAGCAGTGCTTTTGGTCCATCTGCCTGTTCTACTCCCACTTCTGTCCCTGGTGAATCCTCTCACCCTCCACACCTCTGGCCTGTACCCCAGCTCTTGTATGCATAAATAAATATATCTTTAAAATAAAATAAAACCTTTTTTTTTTTTTAAAGAGAAGTCTGTGCCTTTGCTGGCTGAGCAGCTGGCTGAGCAACTACCTGAGCAAGGTGAAGCAGGAGGAGCCGAGTAATTGGAAGCAGAGTTGCAGGCCGCCCGGCGTGCTTCAGGGAGTTTCTGCACCCAGCCCAGACCGGGTGGGTTTATCATCAGCTCAGGCAGCTTGAAAGAGAACCTCGGAGCCCTTGGCATCATCCGCACAGGTTGGGGGAAAAAGCCGTCAGGGAGACAGCAGCTTGGGCGCCCCCCGCCGCCTCTGCCGCCCCTATATGCTCCGTCTTCCCGCCCAGGCGCGCCACTCACGCACGCCCACAGGTGCCGCCGTCAGACGCGTCAGGCGCGCGTGTAAGACCACAGGTGTGAATCATAGATGCTAATGGTGGGACTGCGGAAAAATCCTGGTAACTTCCATTCACCCTTCAAGGAGAGAGAACACGCCCAGGCGGCTGACCCCTCAGGCTCGGTTTACGCCTGGTTGAAGGTTTTGCAGCTGTCTTTACCACCTGGTCTTCCTGGGGGTGGCTTCTTGGTGACCCAGGTGCCTCAGCAGGGTGTGCCCCATCATGCCCACCCCTCTCCCCACCCCCCAGTCCCCGGCAGCTGGTCAAGGTCCTCCCCCAGGAAGGTTACTTCTTCTGCTCCATTCTTGCCATCTTGTCAATTCTTGGGAAAGGCCTGGCCTGGGTTTTTAGCTGTGTGTCTTAGAAGGTGTTTGCTTCCCTCTGGGCTTCTGACTCCTCAAATGTAAACCACAGAAATCAGTTCCCATCCAGTTCCAGTGGCCCCTCTTTTTCAGGAGAGATGCAGGCTTGGGGGCAGAGAGGCTGGGCTGGATAGTCAGGAATCCCTGGCCAGGTTGTGCAATATCTCTGAGCTGCATGTTTTCAGCTGTAAAGCAGGACTGGTAAGTGGAACTACCTCTCAGCGTCTTGGGGTTTGCTGGGCCACCAAGTGAAAATGTTGGGTATCAACATTATTTCTCCATCAATACCTCAGTAGTTATGGGGTTATCTCTGACCTCACAGGTGTGTAAGCCCCATCGGGGCCTGAGCTGGCACCTCCCTGTCGTTGCTGTGTGCTTGGTACCCAGCACAGAGTCTTATTCCAGGGCCTCACACAGTATTTGCTGGCTAGTCTCCTTGGATGAACGACCACACAAGTGGATGCGTCCCACTCCTTAGAGCAGGAAGGACAAATCAGGTTGACCTGGGTGGCAGGAGAAAGGGAAAGAAGGAAGTAGAAGAGGCAGGGAGTACTGGGCTCCCGGGCTTGGCCACGTGGGGGAGGGTCGGTAGCAAAAGGCAAGAGGGCAATGACAGAAAAAGAAACCAACTAGGGATAGTGCGATGAGGCTGCTTCACAATCCTGTCTGGGGGGGTGTCACTGGGTGGCCCCTCAGCCCTGAGTCCTCTCCCTTGCAGTGTTCTCCTCACTGCTTTTTTAAAAAAGATTTATTTATTTATGCATACAAGAACTGGGGTACAGGCCAGAGGTGTGGGGGGTGAAAGGATCCACCAGAGAGAGTGGGGAACAGAGCAGGCAGATTGACCAAAGTACACTGCTGAGGGGAGCAGCGGGGAGACAGGAGAGGTCTGCTGTGCCATGTGGGTAGCTCCCTGGCCGGGGAGCGAACTTGTGCTGTCATGGCTGCAGATAGCTTCATAGGTTGCATCTTAACCCCTTGCGCCACCAGGGAGGCCCCTCTCCTCACTTCTTGCAGCCCCTTACTGCCAGCAGGCTGGGGAGAGCAGGGGACGGGTGCTGCAGCCACGCCTTTCTGGTTTGTTTACCAACAGCACAGCCCTCGTGGGTCATGACACAGCCAGCAGCATTTGATCCTGCTAAATATATCTGCTCTGCTGGCCTGGACCACACAGCGGGGCCCCTGGAGTTCAGGACCACCCGCTCATCCCTCGGGGCAAGACTCTGGGCCTCTTCCTGACCCAGAACCCTGTGTCCCCAGGGAGTCAAGGGCCAATTGGGGTCTAAACTAAATGCAATTGTTGCCTGAGCCCAGAGGGACAGTTTCATCTTGGACAGAGCAGAGGATTTAAGGGGGAAAAACTAATTGTCCAGAAGGACCACAAAATGGCTCATGCCCCATCAATGGCCCCGTCATTCTTGGATGTTTAGGAATAAATACGTATTTACTAATGTTAGGGAAATGTTTTACTCTTTACAGTACTCACTTTACATTGTTATTTGTAATGTTAAGGTGAGTAAAAAACTTAGATACATGGTTTGAATACAATCATGTTTTTATTTATTTTTATATTTATTTATTTAATTCTTGTATTCATGCATACAAGAACTGGGGTACAGGCCAGTTCTTGTGGGAGGGTGAGAGGATTCACCAGAGAAGACAGAGTGGGGAACAGAACAGGCAGACTGACTGAAACACACTGCTGAGGGGAGCAGCTGGAGAGACAGTGTTAGGGGGAAAGGATGTCCTGAGCTAATCTCATACAGGCTTTGTGGACCCCACCCCCACTCCAGACTAAAGCCATCAGGACATTGGGAAAGACAAATCCCATCACCACCAAGGGGAGGGTGACTGGGACCTGAGGGTGGAGTTGGCAGCCAGGTTGGATATAAAAACCAAACACGTGGGCCTTGCTCGCTCTCTGGCTCGCGATCGCTCGCCTCCTGGCTTCACCGCTCCTGGCTGGCGGCCAACTCTGAGAGCGCCATTTTGGGATTCCTGATCGGCGGATCGGGTAGGATGCATTTAAAACTTTGTCTCCCACTTTTCTCCCAGAGCTGTACATTTTCTCATTTCCCTTTCCGTTGTAAATAAACCTTTTATTAACCTTTCGCGTGTGCCTGCAGTAGAGCATTGATAAATCCTTTTAAGCGCGCGGGTGAGGACCCACAGTCAGGCACCCGGTTTTGTATCGGGGTTGCTCTACAACAACAGGACAGGTCTGCTGCGCCATGTGGGTTGCTCCCTGGCCTGCCGGGGCATTGAACCTGTGCTGCAGAGGCTGCGGATTATTCATAGTGCAGTACTTAACCCTTGCGCCACCAGGAAGGCCCACAAATGTGAGCTTTTTATCTACCATTTTGTATCCTATTTTTCTACCTAAGCTTACACTATAGATACGTTCCAAAGTTATCAAATAGTCTTGAAAGGATGATTTTAATGGCCCCCTAACATGCCTTCATATGGATGTACAAAATTTAATTTTTTCCTATACTGTTTCCGTTTGAGTTTGTATTTGGGTTGTTTGAAATTTTTTGCTAAATTAAATTATGCTTCACGAGCCTTTCCTATTAGTTGCATAAAAGAGAAAATTTAGCTCAATCGGGCTTAAGTCAGAAGGAGGTATTGGTGAAACACAACAGAGGTCGGGGTCTTAGGGCAAGGCTCAGTCTGGTCTCCTAAGGTTCTCCTTTAGTTTTGATCTTACCCTTCTCTGTGGCAACCTCCCCCTCCTCTCCCCTCCCCCCCAGGCTGGCTTTTCTGAGTCCCGGGGTGAGAAGCGCTCACAGCTCAAGGGGAGGGTGGATGTGGAAAGAAGGCTCAGGGACTCGATTTTCCTCTGATTGGCTCATTTATGAAAGGATGACAAGTGACTTAAACAAATCTCTGCCTTAGGCTGGTTTCCTAGCCCATCCCTGACCAGGTCTATGGCAAGGGGTGTGTGTGTGGGGGTGGGAGCAGGATGGGGGAGATTATGCCTATCCCTTGCCTGTCATACAACGTGGCTTCCAAGAAAAGATGCTAAGCAGATAATCAAAGAATGCCCTGGGCACCTGGTTACTCAGATTGGAGTCTCAGCACCTCTACTTTGGAATTCATTGGAAATGCAGAAATCTTAAGGACGTCCTCACATCTACTGAATCAGACTTTGAATTCAATCAGAGTTGCACCCAGGAAATTATGTGCATTCGAGTTGAGATGCCTCCCTGAATTAAACTTGACTATTCCATGAAAATAGATCCCTAAGAGTGGAGTGACTGGGTCAAAGGGCATGGATACTTCTAAAAGTCTTGATACATATTATCAAATTACCCTGTAGAAGGCTCTATCATTTTACATTGCCACCCTGGGATCTGGGTGTATGAGGCCTAAACTTATGCACTTTGAGAAAAATCATCTTTAAGAAAAAGAATACAAAATGAAGTACAGGGCCTCCCTGGTGGCACAAGGGGTTAAGCACCGCACTGTGAAGCAATCCGCAGCCTCTGCAGCAGGAGTTTGATCCTCCTCCGGCCAGGGAGCTACCCACATGGCACAGCAGACCTCTCCTGTCTCACCTGCTGCTCCCCTCAGCAGTGTACTTTGGTCCATCTGCCTGTTCTGTTCCCTACTCTGTCTCTGGTGAATCCTTTCACCTGCCCTCTACCTCTGGCCTGCACCCCAGCTCTTGCATGCATAAATAAATAAATCTTAAAAAACAAACAAACACCAGAACATGACTGTCTAGAAGAATACCTAGCTTATCCAGATCTCAGAACTCATGTATGGGGAGGCCAACAGAAGGTCAGAAGGCTTGCCTTGAAACTCCATTTAGTCTTGGAAGACCCCACAATTCCTCCTTCAGAGTACTTTTCATGGGTTCAGAAGTTCTGGACTAGGTAAAATGGTTTCCAAGCCGCCAGAAATTTCGAAAAGGTAACCTAGAAGAGGGGAAGGCTGCCTCATATAGGCACAAAGCCAGGGAGGGGCACAGATCCTAGTCCAAAAACAGACTTAAGAGCTACAAGAATTTGCACTACTGTAGCTGTGGGCATCTTTCCGTGTTTGACAAATTGGAGTCACATTGTAAGGGGCTGAGCCCAGGTGCTCACAGGACCTGCTCCCTCGGGAGAGGTTAAGATCTTCAGCATGGTGCTTAATTAAGCAGCGACAGTCATCAAATCTCTACAAGAAAGTGCTAACCAAGATAAACTGGTACTTCAAAGGGCTAAATGTCAAGCTTTCTGAAAGACTTCGCTATTCAGAAAGATTCTGGATTGCAGCGTTTATGTTGACCTTTCCAAATCTATTGGGCTGAGAGTAAACCACGACCCTGGACCAGAACCACCCAGAAATCCATTGGGTTTGGATGAGCCTCCCTCCCTACTGTCTTCATGTTCCAGACTTCAAGGGTGGAAGGCATGGAGCTGTCTGAGCAGCTGGAAAATGTGAAGGGAGTCCTTTCCCTCTTGTCCATAGCAGGAAGAGCTGCAGGGAGGCCAGGTTCAGGGCAGGGCTTGTGCTTGGGCACTGGAGGTGGTGGAGGGGTAGTGTGCTCTGAGTGTTCGTGGGTATTCTCCTAGGGAGCTGCTATGAGGGACCAGGGGACATCACCTAAGCTAGAGAAGGGAGCTTAAATGCCTCATTGTCTCTTGCAACTTTATTTTTTTTTTAAAAAGATTTATTGATGCATACAGGAGCTGGGGTATAGGCCAGCTAGCCAGCCGGGGATTGAACTCGTGCTGCAGAGGCTGCGGATTGCTTCA